TTTCATCTAATATAATGATAATGGCATAATAATGCAGGTACACCTTTTCAAAGATCAATAAACTTTTATTTCTAAACAATATGTAATACTGGAACTGGAAGACATTTTAAATATCCACAAGAAATGAACAAAACAACCAAAAACAATAAATAAAATGGACTCTAAGTGTCTGTTAACAAAAAATTGAATAAAAACCAAACACAAACGAAAACAATAAATAAAATGGACTCTCAGTCTCTGTTAACAAAAACCCACCTTGCCAATCATCATCGCATTTGCAACAGTGTCATCATCACCACCCCTGCTCTCTCCCGGCAGCTGATGTGTGGCTGTCAGAAAGCCTGACACCGCTGCGCTTCATTCAACCACATTGTAGTAACACAAGTAACACGCCACTTTACATTCTCAGTAATGGTAACGGCGTTGCAACGATGGGAAAAGTAATTAATTAGATTACTCCGTTACTGAAAAAATAACGCCGTTAGTAACACCGTTATACTTAAACGCCGTTACTCCCAACACTGCTCAACAGGCCATATGCAAAAAGCATATCTCATGAGAGAGAGAGAGAGAGAGAGAGAAATGCGACATTCTCGCTCAGGTTTAGTGGTTCACCTCGGTCATTAGGTTTAAATCCGAAGTGCTCCCACACTGCAGCTGTAGCGTTTGGCTTTGAAACCAAATCCATCTTTTCCTCCAACTCTCAACTAGCGTTTTCTCTTGCTATACTCCTCACGCGGCTCTTTTGCTGTACTCTGTGGTAGGCTACGCCAGGAGTCCTGCCTCCCCATATAGAGACCATGCGGCTGACAAGTGACTGACACGAGGGATCACTCCTCGTTACACTAAGGAACCAAGAGGGGTCACCCAGTGTTCATCCAGTCTCTTTGGTAGAGAGAGAGACGAGGAAAACAAACAAGCATGCAAATGGAAACGCGGCCGAAAAATTATCGAGCTCATTTTATTTATTGTGCGATTAATTGATTTATCACATATCGCAACAGGCCTAGTCTATCATCCACGAAAACCAGGAAAAATGCGTGTAGTATTTGACTGTTCTGCCAAGTTTCAAGAAACATCCCTCAATGACCATCTACTCACCGGTCCTGATTTGACGAATACATTGGTGGGAGTCCTATGCTGCTTCCGAAAGGGTTCCGTTGCAGTCATGTGCGATGTTGAAAGAATGTTCCACCAATTTCATGTGAAAAAGGAGGATCAAGATTACTTAAGATTCCCATGGTGGGAGAATGGCAACTTGGAAACCACACCATCAATCTACAGGATGAAGGTCTACTTATTTGGAGCGGCCTCATCTCCTGGCTGCGCCAACTTTGGCTTAAAACATCTGGCTGCACAAGGGCAAGGTCAATTCGGTGAAGATGCCATACTTCAGTCAAAGAAATTTCTATGTAGATGATGGTCTGGCAAGCATTCAAACTGAGGAGGAAGCCATTCAACTTGTCAAAGAATCAAGAGAACTTTGCTGCACTGGCAAGTTAAGACTTCACAAGTTTGTTTCTAACAGTGAAAATGTGATGGCAACCATCCCAGAAGAAGAACGTGTCACAGTCAAAGATCTGGACATGGCCTTGAGTTCACCGCATATGGAGAGAGCTCTTGGAGTAGAGTGGTGCATCACATCGGACTCGTTTAAATTCAGAGTTCATGTAAAACCCTATCCGCTGACAAGAAGAGGCGTACTCTCTACTGTAGCTTCTGTGTATGATCCCCTGGGGTTCATTGCACCCTTTGTCCTTTTGGGGAAACAAATACTCCAAGAAATGTGTAGAGAGAAGGTCGGCTGGGGTGAAGAACTTCCAGAAAAGACCTTAGGTAGGTCTTTGATCCAGGACTCCCATTTAGGTGTGGCTGAAATGCAAATCAAAAGATGCTTCTTACCTTCAAGTTTTGGCAAAGTTAAAGGGTATGAGCTTCACCATTTTGCAGATGCAAGTGTTTCTGGCTACGGTGAATGTACTTACCTGCGAACCGTTGATGAGTCTGATGAAGTCCATTGCTGCCTGGTAATGGGAAACTCAAGAGTTTCACCAACCAAAGTCACAACTATACCGAGGCTTGAACTGTCTGCTGCAGTTGTTGCAGTTCGAACCAGGGACATGCACTGGAATACCAAGATCTCAAAGACTTCTTCCGGACAGACTTGAAAGTCGTTCTCGGCTACATAAACAATGACGCCAGAAGGTTTCAGGTGTTCATATCCAACCGCATTCAGAGGATCAAGTCAAGTATAAAGCCTGAACAATGAGTTTTTGTTGACTCTGAGGACAATCCGGCAGATCATGCCTCTCGAGGTTTGACTGCAGAGCAACTTAAGTCCTCAAACTGGTTCACAGGACCAAAGTTTCTGTGGCAAAAGGAACCACTGATGCATTTATAAATGTGTTAAGAGCGTTCATTGCCATAAGAGGACATGTTCGTCAACTAAGATGTGACCAAGGAACCAATTTCGTTGGTGCAAGGAAAGAGTTTACAGAACTCATGAAAGGAATGAACCAAGAAAGAGTGAAGGTTCTAGGATGTGAATTTCTTATGAACCCTCCAGCAGCAAGTCACATGGGCGGTGTCTTGGAGAGGCAGATAAGAACTATAAGGAGTGTTCTTACTGCTATTCTTGACAAGTCAGCACAAAGGCTCAATACCACCTCTCTAAGAACATTCCTATATGAGGTTATGGCTATCGTTAATAGCAGACCACTCACTGCTTAACATTTGAATGACCCATCCGGACCTGAACCTTTAACTCTGAACCATATCCTTACCATGAAGTCCACGATAATTCTACCACCACCTGGACAATTCGTCAGAGAAGATCTTTATCTTCAAAAAAGATGGCGACGAGTTCAATATTTGGCTAATGAGTTGTGGACCAGATGGAGAAAGGAATATCTGTTGAACTTACAACCACGACAAAAGTGGCACAAGAACAGAAGAAACTTGAAAGTCAACGACATTGTACTTCTACAAGATGATCTGGCACCACGCAATCAATGGAAGCTGGCCAGAATCACAAGAGTCTACCCAGGGTCAGATAATAGGGTGAGAAAACTAAAGTTGCTAGTTAGTGACACCACATTTGATAAAAAGGGGAAACCCACAACTGGAACAGTGTTCCTTGAAAGACCTATACAGAAGGTTGTTACTCTGCTTGAGGCAGAGTAAGATGTTGTGAAACTCCATGTTGAATGGTTAATAACAGGAAATGTTTCATTGAGATGCTTGCAACAACCATTGTGTTTAGAAAATCCCACATTGAGATTTGTGTGATTTGGTGGGAGTGTAACCTTTTTGAAGATCAACGTCTTAATTAGAATTCATTTAAGTTGCATTTGTTTTATATTATTTCATTTAGTATGACTAAAAAGATGCTTTTATTTTGAAGTCTCAGTATGTCTCGTTCGGCTGCTCTCGCGTGTCTGACTGACAGCATCAGCACAAGCAATTAAGCAGTGATGAAGGACTTTTGCGCTGTGTCATCCTCGTCACAAAAGACTATATTTTGAAGATAACTGAAGATTTGAAGACAATTCCCTTTTTCGTAGCGTGCAGCCAACGAGGTATTTTATTTATCTGTGTTTTACTTTGTAAATGTTATTCCACATGCTGTGCATGTTATTGTTTATGTTAAGCTAACTTTGTTTATATTTTGTTGACGTTATTTAGTTTTCACGGTGGATTTGGAGAAAGAGAGACAAGCTTCAAATAAACCCGTGGAAAGAAAGCCACTTGTGTCTGCCTGTGCTTCGAGGGAGTTATAGTGGTCTTCACATACTTAATTTCAGTTTTAGACCATTTTCTAACATACTTTTTATCTGTGTGCATCCAAGAAGTGCTGTATGACCTGAGTAAGTTCTGTTAGTGATTTCTCTTTCAGTGACATTACTGATATTGTCGATCTCTTGGGGGTAATTGTTTTTATCTGCTTATGAATCTTTAATTTAGATATAAAAAGATATGGAATGTCATTAGTTCTGCTGGTATTTTATCATAAACCAAAGTATTGCACAGCAGGGCGGTAGCCATGGAGTCTACAACACCAATTACAGCTAGCACAAAACTTTTTTTCATGGCAAATTTTCTTAAACGTGATGCATTTTAACAAGGAAATTGAATGTGAAAATTGCGAAAATAGTTGCGATTTTATTTAGTTTTATAAAAATCATTACAAATCATGGGCAACGTGTTCTAGTGAGAATACAACTCTCTACTGGTGGAGTCAGCCATGTTTTTGTTACCTTAGAACAATAAAACAAAACACTGGCTGTAGATAGGGTATTTTGAAGCAACTATTTCTTCAGTAGAAATAGGTATAGATGAAAACCTCTGTCAAAAAAACCCTTAAATTATTATTTATTATAATTAAAAGAAAACTGTATCGCTACCTTACCACTGGTGAGATCTGAGTGAATCGACCCTTTACTTGAGCTGAACACTAAGCTGACTGTGTTGTCATTATTTACTCTACAATCTTCTCATAGTGATCTGAAGCAACAACCGAGACAAAACAAAAGCATTAAAGTCGACACAGAGGAAAATTGGTGTGACTCAGGATTGGAGTCCTGACTGAAAAACCAGAGGAATGCGTTCACCCTCCATCATTATGAAAGAGCACTTTGAAACACTACCATTAAAGAGCCCCATTGTTGCTGTGAATGTGAAGCTAATTGGACTAACCCTGCGAGAGGAGCCGCCGAGTTCTCCGGGCCCGTTAATTTGAAGAGTCACAGCTGGCTACTCATGTGCGCCTCGACCCGTCCTGCGTGCCTCGGCTCAGCCTTTAATTCGGCTCTGCAGAAAGCCACACAAACAATATGGAAAAGGAGTGATCCTAAAATTAGCATGGAAGAGATGATCTTGTAGTTTCCACGCCAAATGTACATATAAAAACGGCTAATTTAAAAAAGGCGCATTTCGTGCCAAAAAGCAATCATGACAAACCAGAGCGGAGACGTTGGAAAGATTAGAGACCAGCAAACATGTTAAAAATGTCAAGTTAAATGTTTTAATTTGAACGGACAGAGAATGGAGGAATATGAAACTTTTTATGGTTGAAAACAATGCTGCATATTCTGACTTTGCTTTTTCCCCTCAGACAGCTACAGAGAGCACAAACTGCTGGCTGCCTGGTGCCCACAGGAAAAAGCTCCCTCCCTTTTAATTAGACCAGCTCACCAGATTAGGCCTCATTAGGCTGCAACACTGGAGCGCAGCTAAAGCCCATGCAGGCCTCCAGCGCATCCCACTTTAATTGCTTCTGTAATGGCCTCGGCTCAGGCCTTTGAAATCCCATTCCTGTGGGTAATCAGCCATGTTTGTCTGAGAACCGCAAGCGTTTCTTACTTCTTACTCAGAAGAAGCTCGTCGCTACACGCTCAACTGTAGCTTTAGCCAAATCATCCTCGACACAATCACACACTCATCACACGTGAGCTGAATGGCTAAATTATTATTAGTTCTTCTGAGAGGACTTGTTCTCTTTCCATACAGCAATAAAACTCACAAATGAAAAAAATTGCAACACAGAAAACATGATTCATACACTGTAGCACACAACACAACAGGATATTAGTGCACTTTGAACATATCTTCCTTCGAATGTTCATTAGCTATGAACAGATGAGTTTACACTGTAAAAACCGTTACTGCAATAAACATTTAGAATGTACAGTATATGTCACTGGCATCATGATCAAGCGTAAAGATTATTATGGAGGCAGAGCACTGATCTTCTTGGCCCTGTAGTGCTGTAGCTGGGCTCCTACCACAGTCAAGAATCCTTGTGTATCTCCGTCACTGTGTAGAAGCGATTATAAATCCAGAACGGCTTAGTTATTGAAATCACAAGCATTTTGGGGAATATAAAGCAATGAAATACAAAGGAGAACCCCCGCTTTGAGAAAGACTTTCATTTCTTCAAACAGATATTTAGAACCAATAACTGCTGACTTAAATCAAACTGTAAGTGGAATCTCTGCTTTAAAGGACTGTGCTGGTGGGTTTTCCTGTAAAAGCACATTAAAAGCGCATTCATGTGTACACAACTACACTATACTGTGACGGATGTTTACAGTTTGGGTGAAAATTAACCATTCACCTTCATTTTCTCTTCCAGGTTCGACTAAGCTGGAGGTTATATTTTTAGTGATGTGGCTGTGTTCTGAGATCAGCCAATGAGTACGTTACCATAACTGACAGAACCGACAGCCAAAGTTAAATCCCAATTGTAATAAACCATGCTGAAGGGAATGTCATTAGTGTTGCAGGTATGCTCACCACTCTGCACTGTGAGTTTCTCTTTGTTCACAGAAATACTGTTTCCATTCACTTTCATTGTGCTCTAAGCTAATTATTTACAGTTGTCTTTTCTTCGCCGTAATCCCAATCAAGGTTGAGGGACCGCCAACAACTCGACCCTGAGGTTGTTTCATGGTAAAAGCCTGCCTGTAAAGGGAAGGCCACCAGACTTTTCACATTAAAAGTCTAGAGGAAGAGTTGAATTTTATTCATGTGTTTGCTGCGTTTCAGTAGTTGTTCAACGTTCCCGCTGCCGCCATCAAAAGTTGTTCCATTTGTGTGAACAGCCTCAGAGATGTGTATATCACCTACAATGCATTGCAGTTGTGCATATAGGTGATATAACGTAAGTTATTAGTAAGTTATATAAGCAGAGTTAATGGGATCATCCTTATGAAAACCATAAGGATGAAAAGTGCCCTTCATGTAATATATGCTGTTATGTAATACCAAGAGCTGAGGGTGAGTGAATGTGGGAATGTGGAACTACTAATGAAACGCAGTTGTGGTACTGTAGCTTGTTTGGGGAAACAGGCAGAGTGGAAATGGACATAATGCTGAATTTATCAAGACAAAATGTAAAGCTGGAGGAAGTGTTGAGTCTGGGGAAATTAGAGATAGAGGCCTGTCTCTAATAAAGGCACCATTCTCTGTCACTGTGGTGAATAAAGACCCTGGCCACTATTTGAGAATTTATGGCGTACATAACTTGTAGTTAATGGGCTAAAACAGGAAAAAACACACCAGTATGGTCCTTTATTACTGCAAAATATGAGATATCAGTTTTGTACAATTGGAGAATTCAAGCTACTTCTGTCCGTGGTAGGAATGCTACCACCAGAGGGCGACTATCACTTCCCCCAACACACGGGTAAAAAACAATCTGTGCATTTGTTGAAAATTTCACAGAGAACCACACAGAAAAATAGTCAGTCTATCAATATAGATGTTTTCTAGTTCAGCTGTCTCTTGGGTGTGGAAGAAAACATCTAGTGGCTGAAATCATGACTCAGGAGATCCATATTTATATTCATATCAATCCAAAAGATGGTCACATTGCATGTGTAGTCTGTGTCACAGTCAGTGTTCCCTCCTTATTCAATTCCCACTGTCACTGTCTGGCCGGGTAAAGGTAATAGATGATTCCGCTGGAATTACACATATGGGATGATTCCAGGTCTTCCTTTGCCACCGTTAGCCATGCCAGTTCTCATCAGTAATATTGCCAGAGTTTACAACAGACAACAGTCTACTGTATAAATAAATTCCAACCATCCTCAGCATCCAGAGCACTGGACCGGCAGCAGTAATGACTACATCCAGATTGTCCATCAGAATGGAGGGCGCTCAACCAATGGCAGGATTTACAGGAGGAGGAGGAGGAGGGTGAAGAAGAGACAGAGGAGAAAAGGTGGGGGAGAAGGCACACATTTGGTTTTCCATCTTCTACCTCAGCAGACCTGGAAACAGCAGAGAGAAGAGGTTTGAAATGATACTGGTAACACCTTTGCTTTTCACACCATAAGTGCGTTGCCACACCACCTGTCGTTTTCAAACCTTCCTCATTTTGTCTGTTTACTTCCTCAGTTTTGTGTTAAAGAGAACAAAAGCCTGAGATGTTGCACTAGATTCAGAAAAGGGTTGGGTGCTGAACTCGGTACTTTTAAGGGTACCGACTGAATTACATCGGTACTACTGAGTACCGATTCACAATAAATAAATCAGTGCCACATTTCGGTTCCTGACAGCACATCTGGGTGAGAGAGTAAAGAGAGAAATAGAGAGAGTGAGACTAACGTGAAGTCGCCCCTTCAGCAGATAATGGGGCATTTTCACTCTTGGTTGACGTTAGCTTACAGTTTCCCAATAAGGGTTATTATTATGTTAGTATGCTTAAATAATGAATGTAATTGTGAATTACATACTATTTACAGGGAAATAGTTTTTTTATCACAGAGAGAGATTCCCAACCCTAGTTCAGCATTACATGGCCTCTCACCTTCTGGTCAGACATCATGCTGTTAGGCTGCAGTGGAGTTGGATGTCCACTGAGCAGACCACCTCCCGGCCGGTCATGTTCGCAGAAGATCGTCCCATTGATGTAGTGAAAGCGGTCTCCAGGGACCAGGCGGTTCCTGCAGGTGGCACAGGTAAAACACTAGGGGAAGAGAGAGCAGCATCTTTAACTATGTATCAATTATTATCAAGCTGAGTTTACTGAGAACAGAATGATGATGTTGTCATGCTCACCTTAAGATGGTAAACGTTGCCTTGCGCTCGCATCACCATCTCACTGGCAGGTATAGACTGTCCACATGCACTGCAGGCTCCACTGTGTCCAAACAGCCTGCAAATAAAACACAAGTCTGTCACCATCAACAGCAACACAACATGCACCCACAACCAGGGTTTCATTTCCAAATGTACAACTTTGATGTCCAATGTTTTTGACAAGGAACTGATCCTTTCTTCATGAGGATTCATTTTGTCTGAGGATGTTTCTAGCTTTGTCACCCTCATCAAGTCTCCAAACTCAAAAAGCAACAGTGTACTCAGCTATTTTAGTGAAACTTCGACTGTGTAATATTGAGTACATGGATGGAGCAGAGTAGTGGAATGTGTTGCAGGAATGAATCCATTGGATTGGCTGTTCTTTCTATAGGACTGTAGTTGCCGTTAGCTATTTAGCTCAGTTCTGCTCAGACTGGGAGCTCGGAGCACCAAGGAGTGATGGTGTTTATAACGCTAGCAAAGGAGCTTTGGACCGCTGGGAAGAGGAGGTTTTCAGGCCAAGGGGTCGGGGGAAATGCTGACGGGGAGCAGAGCCAAAATGGGCACCAGAACCGGAGCCAGGCCATCACCATTCTCTACAGACATCATGGCAGAGACGAAGAGACTAAGATATATGAGAGAGAGGGAGAGAGAGTAACCGAGCAAGAAGCTGCTGGACAAGAGTAAATGTGAGACTAGCTTTTAGTCGATGGTGAGCTGATCTTCTTGCTGTTGGATTAGTCAGTAATATTAGCGGATTTGCTATGTTTTGTGTTGTTACACTTGCTTGTTGTTTGGCTGTGTTAGCAAAGTTAGATTTTGATCATAAATAAACAAATACATGTGTCCATATTTTGCCCTTTCCTAAATGACAAACTGAACAGTGATTTCACTCTTCTCACTTGTCAGGCTGTTCAGTCTCATCAAAGGTAAGCCATTTATAGTCTTTGTCTTCACTGTGTGTTTTTATTATGCTTATGGCACAATCTTCACACTGCTGTTTGTGTGACTCTGCAGGAGTAGACATGCTCCTGCGGCTGTGTGACTGCGGCCATCATACCTTTACGGAGTTCAGTCTTATCAAATTACAAACGGCTGTGCAGCATTTCAATCGACTCGCCTGTACCTGAAACAATGCAGACCTTTGTGTTGTTTTAACAGCGTTGTGTTGCGTCTCATGTTGGGTTGTAAAAGCTCATCATAGTTCATGTCTGTGGGATTTGTCCTTCACTGCTGTATGCTATGGTTCCTGTGTTGCCTAAGCAACCTTAGCCACATGGATTTGCTGTTGTGTGGCACCTTGAGGTCGTGTGTATTATATACAAGGTCATCTAGATTTCCTTTGCATCTAACACGAACACCCGACCATTCTGGCATCTGGACCTTAGTGAGAAAGTCAGAATACACTCCGGAGATGCACAGTACATCACATATCAGCATCTACAGTATATGTTTGGGTAAAAAGCTCAATTCTGTCTCAAAATTGCTGCAGCTGTAGGCATATCCCTAGCCTAGCATCGGCAGACTCTCACTTCCAAGGAGGCACAGACCAAAATGCCTGTAGACGCAGTTGGATAGATTTACAACCAATGAGAGCAACGAAAAGTGTTGAAAAGTTGGGCCGGCGTTGAAGCAGAAAAAAAACATCAGCCTGTCACAAACATTTTCAAATTACAGTTAAGCAGTACACAAGTGTGTTTGTGAAAACATTTTAGGGAAGAAATAGGAAACGCAGTAACAGAATCTTGATTAATATTTGATGATCAGCAATGCATGGTTTTTGTTTTTATTGCTGCCAAACAGTCATATAATTTAAACCTATAGACCAGCAGACCTAGTATTGACTCATCTTTTAATATGCAGGGTTCATTATAAAGTGCCTCAGGTTTATTCCAGGTAGGTGGTCAGCATTACCTCGCTTTTGTGGCATGCTTGGCTGTTCTCACCACAACCGATTTTTCCTCTTAGGTCTCTGGAGAACTGAGTACAGCTTACTACAGTTTACCTGTCACCATAACATTATGGCCACAGCACAGGAGTAACAGTTCAAATCAAGTAGAATTTATGTTGTTTAACAGATGATTCAGGCACTCAGGGATGGGACGATATACCATTATATCTTGTATCAGTATAAAGACACTCACACTAACACTAAATTTATCATGTTGAATTTCCATCATCGTGATAATTGTGAATATACTCTTTGATTCATTGCTTACCTTGGAAAAGCTGTCTACCTCTCCAGCATATAGTCCTATATTGATTTCCTGATTTATTTTGAACAAGGGGACAAGGGCGAAATAGTAGATAGATTCTAAAATAAAGAATGACGGAGAGGAGGCGCCTATCTGTAAGATAATAAATATATTAATTTCTTAACAAAATGCAAGGTAAAGTGATTCCAGTATGTTTTAGTGCCATTTTAAAAGTATAGAATGTATTTTAATGATTATGGTGATGATGATGATAATGATGGTGTATTATAATTATTTTGGCCAAGATAATGGAAAATGTCCAGGTTTCCCAATGGGTGTGTTCCTCTTTGTTGACCTGGACGGACCTGCAGACTGAAAGCAATTAGATAGAGCTACCTACAACCAATCAGAGCAGTGAAACTTGTTAAATTCACATCTGAACTGATTATACTCAATCATCATATAAACCCCACCCCATATTAAATAAATGGTTGTGATTGGCCCGATTGGATCCAAGGCTGGTGGAATTTAGTTAGAATGGAATGGTGCAGGCCATGCACAACAGCCAGAGCTGGGCATATTTGTCTGGCTGCACATGTAACAAATGCTGACACACACACAGACCTAACAGAAGAGGTCAGCTCTGTGTGCTGTGAATGTGGCAGCACACAGCTTTACTGTATCTATCAGAGGCTGCGGAACTGCAGCAGGTTGAAGTTTTAATAGGAAGCCTCTGTCATCATTATAACCTCTTGTGAAACCGATGCCCTGTGACACTTGACCAGTTCGGGTGCTCCCTCTCTCTCTTTCAATGACTGCACAGAGTAATGAATTTTTTATCTTAATCCAAACAGTCATTTAATGAGTACGCCTGAGAGGATTCTTGTTCTCCTTAATTAACGCACACACACACACACACACACACACACACACACCTCTTCAGGCTCAGTTACAGCTCATCCTGCTTTACTGGCATGAAGGGTGAAAATCTGAGGACCCGACCAGAACCAGGCCTAAGGTCAACACTTTCTATTCCACCTCGGCTCAGAATTGGGTCCCACTAAACTTTGCTATGCTCGTGTCTGAGTAAAATGCCAAGCGGCATTGACACACCAACACCAGGAAAATCTGCTATTTTTTGGTGCCAGCTGGGAACCAACTTTTCAGGTTCTGAGCCAATTTAGTTTTGATCAAGTGCAGTTTTAGTGTCTTTTGAAATTGGTTCCAGTCACTAGAAGCGGCAAACTGGACTGAGTGACAGCTGAAGGAGGTACAGACTTTAGGAGTGACCAAAGTAATTAACTTGCTGGAAATGAACTGCGGTTACTGTTGGAGATATTGAGTAGTGAGCAGAGGGCTTTTGCCAATGAAAGTTTATTAAATTAACTGATTCCAGTGCATTTGGGGTGGAGTGTTGGTCAGTTGACGAAATCAGTGGTTCTCAACCTTTTTCCTCAAGGAAACCCTTTTCTGTGTTTTCTTGTCCCTGACGCTTGGCCATTGTTCTAATAGACAAATCAGATTAGATTAGTACTATTAGATGAAGTTTTTCTAGCACAGCTTAAAATGAAGAAGGCCTCACAACCACACATGAAGGTTTGGCAACCCCTAGTGGGGGTCCCAAGCCCAGGTTGGGAACCACTCGACTACAAAATACAGATTACAGATGATGAGTGTTGATAGGCACCTGTGACAAAGCGGATGGCAGTGTGGTAGATAACGTCCAGTTTACTGAGGCAAACCTGTAGATTAAGTCCACAAAACAACTCTAATAACATCTACTGAGGATCAGACTGGTTGACTTGACACATTAGGGGTATCGGTACACTGCCTAGACTGACGCAGCCACACCCAGTGGACACTGGGGTTTAACCACTTTTTGAGCTTGCAAAGAATTCCCTTACGGTCGCTTCAGAGCCACATTTAGTTTAAATAAGCTCGATGTTGGGCTGCTCACAACAGCAACCACTCTACATCCAACTTCTAATTTGGAAGAACACCACTGTAATGCCACATGAATATTAATCAGGAGCTTTTTGATATGCACCTGAATAAACATCTGTACTGCTGACCCATTTTACTGCCGGACTAAATGTGGAATTTCTTCAATACACAGACTGACTATGCAGTGTATCTTATTGCAGATCATGGTGTAATTTGAGTCTACAGTGTGTGCTTTATTTATGTCATGAGAATTTCTGAAAGGCCAGTGTATTATTACTGGCCTGATATACAAAGTCTGCTGTGTCTCAGCTCCTCCTTGGCGGGCCTTGAGCTGCGGCTTTCCACATGCAGCCCTGTGTTTGCCCCGGAGATGTGGGCACCCACAAAATGCCCATCCGTCTTACACACTAACTGGCACACTGTCTACAAAGAACAAAACACAGGAAAAGGGCTGCACACACACTCTTTTACCATGATTACTATGGCATTTTTAACAGTGATAAATAGTGGTGCCAAACATTAGCATACTATATATAGTCTGTGAATTTGCAGGTACAGTATAAGCGGGTTAAATGACAGCAGGCAGAATAATGACTTCCTGCAGAGATGTTTTGATCTGGAAAAGTGGTGAATAGGGAGGGCTAAACTGGGTTCTTCGTTTTTGAGAATGAGGTGAACAGTGTGTTAACGTTTTTTCTAGAATTCTGATTGACTGTATTTATATCCTGCGGTGTGGTGTTATCATGCTGTAGGGCTCCCATCCATTTGAGCTGCCTTCTCCTCTCAAGGCTTCATGCAGCTGCAGGTTCTCATTTGATCAACAGACTTAAGACACGACTTGGACTCGAGTCACAAATTCTATTTTACTTACTTTATTTGACTCCACAAACTCAAGGACTTACAGCTCGACTTGGACTTGATCACCAGTGACTCGTGACTTTACTTGGAACTTGAGCCTTTTAACTTGAGAATACTCAAGTCCACAGATTAAAAGTATCTTATTTAAAAAGTGTGCAATGAATCATTTAATTTCCTAAAACAACAATGACTATTCATTCCAAGAAAGTCCACACTTAATTCCCCACATGCACTCAGTCTGAACGAATCCAACAACATCCAATCAGGTAGCACGAGAGAACTAACATGCCATGAAGACCTAACATTACGTTACTGAGCGCCAGCTGGAAGAAATGATACCAAAGATCATTTTGTTTCGTTTGTTCTGTTGTTAAATGGCGTTACATTTGGTGAAGAGCGCATTATGACTTGTTTAGGACCGAAATGTATAAGATGAAATGTGAGGAAGGTTCCATCAGATCAGTGTAGAGCGATCATGGATGTAATATAGAGGCATTGGAGTGAAAAGTTAAATCAGTTAAATGTTCGCTATGTCACAATTTTTTAAGTCGTGTTTCCATCTCCCATTATTGCATTAACTGTTCTTCCAAAAATGCAAAAATCCCCTCAACCTTTTTGTGAAATTGTTTTGCTGTTTCATCAACCTTTTCAAATGTTGATGGTAACTTCAGAGTAAGTACTTAAGACCATTTCTCATGCACGTATTCCTTTTCTTTCTTTAGGAAAGGAACAAGTCGATGAATCGAGTAGTCCAACGACACAAAATGAATGGCAACTACTTTGATAAATGATTCATCATTAATGTATTTCCAAGCTAAAATGAACTAACATTACCAGTCCCACCTTCTCTTCTTATGATGTTTGCTGCTATTTTTTGTCTTATGTGACAGTAAACTCAATATCTATGTGTTCTGGGCTGTTGATTGGAGAAAATAAGCAATGAGAAGACTTTAAACATTATATAGACCACTGTCTCACCTGATGTAGTCGTTCTTGCAAAGGATCATGCCTCCCTTGCTGTAGCAGGTGCTGCTGTACTCGCCCAACTGAGCGTGGCAGCAGGAACACTTGAGGCATCGTGTGTGCCAGTATCGCTCCATGGAGAAGAGCAGGAAGCGGTCTGCGATTCGACCGCCGCATCCTGCGCACGACCTGCCTGCCGCCCCCCCGCCACCGCCCATCACTGCCACTGTGGGTGCCTCCACCCTGCTGTTCACCATAGCGACCTGAAGAAAGGGAAAGAGGTAAAGCAGAGAGGGCGAACAGTTGAGGCAGGCAAATATTTAGTGGAAACAGTTAAAGTATTTCATTCTTAAATGAAAAGCTCCACACTGCTGACGTTACAGAAATGAATGCCTCCCTCCACAGCATATGCAGTTTAGATGCTGCATATACGTAACCCCACACACATTACTTGGTTTGTATTTTGCTGAACTGGAATTAAGATGTTGTTCTTCAATCTAAAACAGAGTGAATAGATAAATAATAAAAGGTTGTATTTATCTATACAGTATTGGCATATAGGCCCATTATTGCACATGCATATTGGAATCAGTGCATATGTTGGCTGATTAACAGAAATGCCAAAGATATGTTTGACAAACAGTATCTCCAGTACATAGTTTGTCACAATATAAAAGAAAAAGTACATTGTTATTGGGATCAGCAACTCAAAACAAGAACTTATCCTGCAAGCGGGACTAACCAGAAATTGTTAATTTAAGCCTGAAGTTGATACAGGGTGATCAGAAATTGCTATATTTGTTAAAAAACTATTTACAGAACAGCCCCAGAATTGAGCTTCAGAGCAATATTTTTGATAACGATAACGAGATCTATTTATAAACAACTTTTGTAAAAGTACTTCTATTTATTGTTTTTTAGAAAAAGGATATTGAAATATTTTAATCTGACAATACTGGTAAAAAAGACATTATCTGTAGCAGAAACTAATTTCAGCAGATGCTGGTGCAAGCTCCTCTACTGTCCAGTGACTGACTCTTCAGCCGACAGAGCTCCGTGGTGAGCAGAATACACACCCTTCATCTCTCTGACTGTGTGGAAAAATGTTCCCATCACAGATAATGGCCAAAAATTACAGGTAAAACATGAAGGAGTTCAGCAAGGTGCAGCTGCTCTACAGTGGACTGCACTGGAACTAATTATGTTTCTCATACCTGTAGATAGGGTGCATTGGAGAAAAAACATCAGTAATCATTTTGAATATTATTATCACCCACTGATGCCGACTCTAGGTTGACTATGAATATGTCCAGGTTTAGGTATATGGGTGGCAATTGATGACATTTTATTGATACCAATGCCATTATCGATTCTGCTCTTCGGCCCGATACTCACTGATTCCTGATCAACTTTCTGTGCAGAAAAAATGCTTTTAACGGAGAATATTTACACTGTAACGGACGTGCTACTCAGTTTAGAAGCAGTGGCACTCTAGAATTTAGGCTTATGTTGCATAGAAAGATATTTCAGCATATTTCTGGTGTTGGCAGTTACTTGAAATAATGATATTACAGACATTACAACTAGCACTGCTGTCATCTTTGTGAAATAAAGCCATGCTTTGGACCGTTTTCTTCCTTTCTGCCATTACTCCTTATTGGGTAGACCCATTTGATTTATAATCATATTTATTGGCCATGTATTCATACACACAGTGTACAAGAAATTTGGCTCCAGTATAATATATATTTAAACATATATGTATATATACAGTGGGGCCCAAAAGTCTGAGACCACACTGAAAACCTCTAATATTTTCAGGTGAACTATGAAATAATCAGAATGTTAAATTTAGATAGTAAGTTAAAGTTTTAGGTACAGCCCTATTTATCAGTTATCAATCGATTATTGTTTAGTGCATTAAAAGATAAAAAATAGGAGGAAAGACGCTGATCACAAGTTCCCAGAGTGCCTGTGAAGAGGTTTCTTTTAGAAAACACTTCAACTTATCACATCTTATCCCCAGTGGGTGCATCCCACGCTGTACGTTTACTGTACTGGGAAAGAGACAGGAACACAGCCCCGTGTTCCCAAATGTGGCTCTTGGCACTAGATCCAATCGATTGGTTTTGGAACTTCCTGGGGAAAAAAAAGCTTGGGGCTGTTTACTTGTGGGGGTATGGGAATGTGAAACAGGAAAACACACACACACACACACACACACACGCACACACACACACACACACACACACACTCCCATCAGAGAGTTGCAGTTTTACACCAAACAAGCTCAAAGTTGTGTCCAACTCAAACAAAACCACACACACTCTTTTCTGAGCCTACAAATAACTCTCAGTTTAACTTGATAATACGTCCCAAGAGGAGGCTCTTTGAAGCTGTGGTCCTCCAACAAATGTTATGGCTGCTCTATGGCGGGATGCCCACACTTCTCAGTTCTTCATCATCTCTTTCAAACATAAGGGAAACTTAGAAACAGTTCTAAATGGTTAAGTGCAGTTGCTATAGCTGTTAGTGTTACACTGTGCCATCAGGCAGCATTTACTGTATTCCTGCTTTCTTCATTTTTCCATTACAAACCTGAGCTGATTTCATGCACAGCTGGGAATAATATTGCTTTTGAATCGCACCAAGTACAACCGTGGCAGTGTGTGCTACTCAGCAATGAGTCAGCAGCACAACCTCTTCAGCTGCTTCCATGATTTATAATTAGCGCCAACAACAACATAAAATAATTGCAGGGCTAGATTTCATTTTCCAAATGAGCAACAGCAGCACAATTTGTCCTCTAGAGCGTCTAATTTCAGCAAGGGCATGTTTAGCTTTACGACTCGCCTTCCCACAAGATTATCTGAGATTGCAGCAGCTGGTCCTCCGCAGTGGAGCAGGCTGCCCTCAATACCCTCATTTTCTAGAGGAGACACCTGGCTCTAATCAGCCACAGGAACATCATGTTAAGAAGCCCAAGGCTGCGTTAAAACCACAAACAGCCTCGTGCACCGAGACCAAACCTTCCTGTTAGTGGATGAATGAGCTGATCTTTTGAATGACCTGAAAAAATGTGTTCAGCTATTTAGGCCACAAATAAAACTTTAAAATTAAACCACCTGATGTGTCTTTTATCTGCATTACATTCTCTCTTAAGAGGCTGAAATCAAAAGGTGTTCCGCAACCTCCCCCCCCAACTTTTACAGTGGGTATATGAAGTCAATAAAAACCAAAGGACTCCCTGGTTCCTGGTTTTGATCATCAATCATCGGCACATGATGTTTACATCACATTCATATGTGTGTCTATGGTATCCAGCTCTCCCGTGCATCAGAGTCCACTCTTTTCATGTATGATGTCTACATTTTGGGGGGTCACTCAGCAGTTAAGGATGAACCCAGTTAATTTACTGTTAACTTGATTTTCCTTTGATCAACTTCTTACTTTCAGCTTGATTTCTTCCACAGCATCCTAGCTTTTCCAGTCACAATATCTGGGTTTCTATTTGTGACCAGTGTCTGTTTGCATAATTACTTTATGTTTCCAACTTCAGTTTGTCCCTTGTGCAAAATATTTCCCTAAGCTGAGGGTTTCATTTAGGAGCGTTGCATGTAGCCTCTTAAGTTGTCTCCTTGCCAAAGTGTTTATACCAGTAAGTTAGCTTCTCCAAAACCAACAACAAAGAGAAAAGGCCAGACTGGACACTGGATTAGAATATGGTTTTTCCTCAAAGAATGGAAGCACGTAATCCAAAGTAAAATTAACCCAGCCATAACAAATATGTACAAAAAGTACTAGTAGTAGTTATTACGACAGACAAGCTAACGCTAATACATGAGACAGAGTTATGCTACTTAGTCAGAGTTTGATTACCTAGCTATGAAGTTGCAAGTGCAAACTAATGGTCAAATACTCTCTAACACAGGGGTTCAAACTCAAATTGGCCCAAGGCCACACAAAATGGCAGTATTCTGAAAATATTTCCATTACCAACATACTTTTTATAAATTTTTCTATCATCATTTCAGTCAGACAACTCACGTTTGAAATGTTTATTACAGCAGTATAGCATATTTAGATTTTGGCGTCTAGGCTCCGACCTCATCATTCCTCACTGATATGTTTCCATAGAGATATTGGGGAGTGATGCGCAAATACCTTAAACCCCCAGCGGAGCCTACAGGTGGATGCTGGGGTGGTGGGGGGGCTTACAGAGCAGCAGCAGCAATATGGATGCAGGGCAACAGCGGCATTGACAGAGCAGAGGGAGAGCTGGGAAATTTGCAGTTTAAATAGACCGCCAGATTGGAAGGGTGCACTTGGTTAGTGATTATGGAATAAGGCATGTCATGTCTGAACTAGCTTGCAGGCTTCGCTCCATTTTATTTATTTATATTATTATATTATATTATTATATATTTAATTTCTTAAATTATAAGTTTTTTGCAGCCAAACAACAAATGAACTCCCAAAACCTGTTTTCGTCTCCATTGGCGTGCATTTGCTGGCACATTTGAATTTCTGCCAGTATGTAGCACCAAATAGAACATAATAATTTTTAAATACTATTGCATTTTATTTTAATTGTATATAAAACGGGTAGTTTAAAGTGACAATATAGAAATCTTATTTTCAATGTATCATTATTATTATTATTATAATATTGTATTTTTGACATGTTGTAAGGGGGGAGGGGCGTGGAGCGTCAGAAATGGCCCCTGGTCGGCAGTGTGAAATCCCTGCTCTGACAAGTTGCTCATCTCTCATAGTGTCCAGAGGGGTTTTGTGAAAAATGCGTCTTGGTATTGCCTCGTCTTCAGTCACCGTAAATTCAGCCATTGTCTTACCACTGTACCACTAATTATTTTACATTAAAGAGACTGGTATGGGAAAATCGTTACTAAGCAATGCGTAAGAGAATAGAATGCCACTGCCAAGGACAAGGGCAGACTGCAGCGTATCATTCGATCCGCTGAGAAGGTACAATCTGCCATCCCTCCAGGACCTGTACACCTCTAGGACCCTGAGTCTTAACTCATTAGACAGGATGCAGCAGTTAGTTCACCTAAACCTGCTTTGGTTCTGCTTGTGTGAGGCTATGTTTGAAATGTGAAAAGGAAGGAAGTGTGACACAAGGCCTTCCTCGGGACCACAGCTAAAGCCTTTAGGAGGGCAGCTCAGACGCCAGCTACAGTAACTGGCCAACCCTCCCACCTCAGTGAGAACTTCAGACCAGATGGACTGCTTCTTAATAATT